ATTATTTAAACATATTTTTTTACATAATAGAATATACTGTCTATATTTAATTAATTTTATTCTTTTAATTTTTAATTTTTTATAGTCACGTTTAGCTTATTTTCTAATATTCATATTAAATTTCTTTGAAAACAGATCTTTGCATAAAAATTTTTGATATATATTTCTGATTTATTTTTGATATATATTTCTGATTTACTTTATTACATAAAACATACAGTTAATCTTTGCGCTGTTGGGACACTCTGTATATAAGTACAAGGCGAATGGTGGGGATAGAAACTCAGAGAGGGAGTTACTTCAGGCTCAGTTTGCTCTTGTACGATCTTATGTGAGGTTACCCTTCACATCCCTCTACACTAACTCCCTTCGAGATACCCCTTTTTTCCAATTTTCTCCTTTACTTTGTCTCCCTTTCATTTTCATCATCATCTGTTTTTCCGCTACTAAAAAAAAAAACTCGCTAAGAATTATTCGTGTGTGTGTTTCGTAAAAGTTAAAAGTTTTAAAAGTCAGAAACAATCTTTCTGTTGCTGTTGAACAAATCTAGAAATTTATTTTGAATGGGTGATCATGACTACAAGATATTGGAGGATATTAATGTCATTATTGCTGATAGTTGGATGTGTTTCAGGTTTGTTACGTACGCGTTTATACAATTTATTTATTAAATAATTCATAAACAAATTAAAAATGTAGTTGAAAATAAATTTAATCTTCTTTCTATTGATACTTTTTCCTCTTTTATTTTGATATTTTTTTATTATTTATTTATTGATTCTACATTTATTTTTGAATCACACTATACATCAGAAAGCCTATCCATGTGCACTATTTTTATCCCAGTTTTGCTCGCTTAATATAACGCTTACGTGTTTGTGATATTGCCCTACTAATGAATATTTTAATTAATATTTAACATTTAGTTAATATTGAACAAAAAATTAAATATTTAACAATAAATTTAATTTTTTGAAAAATGTTAATCCATAATTTTGCCTCTAAAATACCGGAAACGATTTAAAGACATAACTCTTTATCTTTTATTTCTATGCAATTGCGAAATATTTTTAAGCTATGTGGAATCTTAAAATATTTAAATTTTGCAAAATATGTAAAATATTATTATAAATACTTGCAAATATTCTTGTTATAAATTTAATAATTATACATAAAGAGTACAAGAAGTCGAAGCTTGTTATCATTGTGTTCCGTATTTATTATAAAAAAAATAAGAACAGTTATTACAAAATATCGCTTTTATACTAGATACCTTATCCTAATTTTGCTTAAACTGAACAAATACTGCAATAAAAGAAAAAAGAAAAGTTAGATTTAGAAGAAAAGCCCAATATTTCGAACAAAAATTTGTATTAATATTCTTCATCATGAGAAAGGAAATTATATATTATTAATTAAAAAGAAAATTCCTGTTTTCATACAATATGCTATTTTGTGCAATGATAATGTATGATACTTAATAATGAAATGATTCAAATAAAAGTATATAGAGATATGCTATATTGGTTTATATTTGAGATAAGCTTGATACTTGTTCTCGCGCGCATATGAATACATGTAACTTATTATGCTATAAATAGCAATAATTATTTACAGAAACAAAAATTTAATAATAAAATTTAAGTAACTTTCTATTTTATACATGTTTCTTTAAAACTACGCGTAACAACTATTGATATATTTAACTAATTATGATTTATGAACATATTGATGATTGTTTTAACAATTCCAACACGGATACAATTATTTTTTACGGTTACTATATTTTTATTGATGTAATATAGAGTTTGTCATGTAGCTATTTAGATCGTGATGTATAACAATTTACACCCTATCAAATTAAGTATGATACAGCACTTCATATTTTACATTCGTATTTTATTTCGTATTTATTACAAAAAAATATATAGTATGTAGAAATGTCCTTAACATAAAAATATAGAGAAAGTCAATTGAAATAATTTAGTTACTTAAAAAATTCTAAAACCGAATTTATAAAAACTATGTCAATAAACTCCGGTTTTCTCTTGATATCAGTACAAAATATAATATTAAAACATGTAATTTAAATTATAAAATATAATATATATATATATATATATTATATATATATATATAGTATACTATAATAA